CTCCACCAAAGCATGGCTTCATAAGCTGCCTTCAAATACATGAGTTGACTAGGTGGTCTCAATACCTTCAAATGCCCCCCAAAACAAAGTATTTTGGAAAACTCAACTTTTCCCTCCATTATATTTCTTAGACTTCACACTCCCTTACCTTACTCTATAGAGGTGTTTGTGATTTTTTTTTTTTTTTGCTATTGTAAAGATTTACATCATGTTCCAAGTAACAGAGCAATAGTACTTCAAAATATAAAGTAATTCATTTATGAAGCATAACTGTGGAATACAGCATGCCACAAAACTGAACTTTCCAAATAAGTCAGGGTTATCTCTTTGAATATATAAAGCTTTTATAAAGTTAACTAGGGCTGGCCTATTAGCTCAATTGGTTAGAGTACAACCTTGTAACACCAAGGTTAACAGTTCGGATCCCTGTACCAGCCAGCCACCAAAAAATAAAAACAAACAAACAAAAAAGTTAACTAGTAAAAATGGAGGTATTTCTAATTTTCAGCAATAGTCCATGTCATTAAAGAATATATAATGACTAAAATACTGCTTATGACTTGTCATAATTACAAATGCTACGTGTTGGACTGTATTCAAATGAGCCCAGAATTCCATACTNCCAAAACTATGTAAGCACACTGAATAAAGCCTGGAGAAAAAAGAATGCCTTCTCTGAATCACAGGTCAAGCATCAAGCACACTCTCAGTTTTTATAATGCAAACTGCATTTCCACCTCCCAACAACAGTGAAAAAAATGATGCTGCAGCATTCTTCTGTCTGACAGGCAGCAAGTCCTAGGTCAAGCATCAAGCACACTCTCAGTTTTTATAATGCAAACTGCATTTCCAACTCCCAACAACAGTGAAAAAAATGATGCTGCAGCATTCTTCTGTCTGACAGGCAGCAAGTCCATCACAAATGCAAAACCTGGTAGGACTGCTATTCCTATGCAAATAAACCAACAGCACACCTAATTGCATATTGAAATTAAATTGTGTTCATCACAGATAAATTCCCACCTGCATCTGCTTGAGAACAGCCTTAATAATGTTTAGAATATTATTAGGCAATTGTTATTAGAGTAGCAAAGTAAATCTTGTTTTCCCTAAGGAATACAGTAGTGAGGAAGTCAGGCACCACAGTATTACAAGGATATGAAATTATATCCAGATGAGTATACTAAAGACCTAAAGAGGTGGGTGGGCAAGGATATAGAAGCACTGGAAATAAGAAGGCACACATCTTGAATTTGAGTTCAGGATCCTGCCTGTCTGGCTACGTGCTGGGCCACAGTGAACTACATCACCACTCTGAGGAATTTTCTCATTTGCAAATTGAGGAGACTGGACTCATCACTCAGATCTCATATCTCTTTAAGAAAATGAATTGATACCACTTTTACAAGTCAGTCCTATAAAATCCAACATCACTGAGCAAGCTTGAAACAAAAAACGCACACATGCACACACACCCATTAAATTACACTGAATGGACCAAAGGCCCTAAGTTGGGCTTTGTGGGGAATACAAAGATGAGAATGAGAAGGCTCCTGCTCTCAAGCAAAAGAGACAAATAATGCGAGCAAATAACTACAATACAAGGCAGACAGTGGTAAGCACTGGAAGAGTGGAACCCAGGCATCTGCTACCCAGGCTTGACTGCCTGCACTCCATGTTCCCAGGAAAAGGACCTCCACCCAGCATACTCCAAAAATCCTCCAGGGTAAGGGTGAGGTGAGACGGTAGGGAATTTTTTCATGCCCAAGTCTCTGAGATGTTCTCCTTCCAGCCATTCTTTGGCCTCCCCCGCTGAGAGAGATCCCCAGCAGTTGCATGGAGCACACAGCAGAGGCTGGAGGTGAGTGCCATTCTATTTGTTTTCTAAATCCAGCTCATTAATGCCTTATCCTTAAAAGGTTGGTGTATCTCATCTGTGCACATGTTCAATTACTAAATTTCTCCTCCATAAAAATTGTTTTCCCCTTTCTTTTGGGTGGTAGTATTGAGCCACTGAAAGTACAAGGACCATCCTCAGGTCTTGGCTCTATTACTAACAGGTGGGTGACCTTACACACATCACTTTTTTGTGTTCTCATCGGTAAAATGAGTGAGGTAGGACATTACCAAAGAGGTCCCTTTTATTTCCAATCTATGCCCAGTTTCTAGGACTTAGCCACATATTTCAACATTTCATTTTTACAATGCTTAGATGGAAGAAAAATACTTCCTACTTTTTGTACATGTAGATTAAGGTGAAATAAATGGGGTGCTTGAAGATATTTAACTGGAGAAGGCCACTGATTAGAAGGCAATAACTCACGAGACAGTAAAAATAAATTACCCATACAAACCGTCCTTAGTAAAATAAAACAAAACGAACAACCACAACAAAGCCTCGTGGGCACTGGGGGAAAACTACAGCACAATGTGTTTTTATCTTAACCTAGTGATGGCAGAACTGTCTTAACTGTCTTGTTTATAAGGAACCCCCAATTAAGTGGAAAACTTCCGATATTATACCTAACAAAGTGTTCCTATCAAAGGAAGCCACGTTTCTTTAGCTTATTCTCTCATGGCTACTAATACAAAAGCCTTCAAGAAACAAGGGTCCCCTCCGCCCCTCTTGGTGCACTGGAGGGCAGCACGGGGTCAGGAACAGGACTGAGCCCTGTTCTCCCCCTTCACTGGGAAGGCCTCCCAGCTCACTGCCCCCTCTGTGCAGTCCTGCTTTCCTTCCTCTCCCCCTTCACAGGTGGAAATCCCAAGAGACATCCCAATAGAAACCCTACAAACTAATCTCCATCTCAAAGTCTGCTTCCCAGAAAGCCCAACCAGCGACAGTGAATTTGGGCAAATTACTTAACTTCGCTGAGCCTCAATTTCCACAAATGTAAAAATGGGGATAATGATACCAGCTACCCAAAACTGCTGTCAGCATTAAGTGTGACAGTCCATATACAAGCACCCAATACAGTGTCTAGCTTAGGGTAATACTTTGCAAATTCTCCTCCATCCCTACTGTCTCATACATAAACTTGAGCACTTCAGCTTTGTGAAATCTTTTCAAATTATCATATCACATTAACTGTGCATACAGAATTTTGTTAACAGAACGTTCAGCCATAAAGACTTCCTCACATTAATATTGAGTAAAATACAGAGCTGAAGAGACTACTGATTTAACATTATTAGACATTCACATAAATAACAACAGGTCCAAGATTTAACGATTACAAAGTTTCTTTGAGGTACATTATTTACAGGTATATAGCTATAATAAAGTACAGTACATCGAGTGTTGTTGTGTTGTAGAATATTTCATAAAATCAATTACATTAAACAATGAAGTGTGACTCTATGTTACACAGGGGTCAAAAACACTGAAATAATTAGAATACCATGTACTTATCACTAATACTATTTTGAATATGCTAATCCCCTGCTGAAACACGATGAGGACAAGGTTTTGCTTTCTATTCAGTGCCCTCGTAGTATCCAGCACCCTGCAGATGCTCAATAAATATCAAAACTCATAAGTAAATGAGTACAATTAAATTATAATGAAACTCCTTTAGAATACTGATTCTGATAGGTTTCTTAACACAAAAGCCATACTCTGAAGCTTTTTATTATTTATGGCTGTTGCATTTAGAGACCTCTGATATATTAATTCAACATTTTCGAAAAAAGCCTGCTATAATATCAGACATTTTCTTAGCACTTGACTGAATCTACCTTTCTTTTTTTTGTCTTTTTTCGTGTCCAGCAACGGATCGCAACCCTCAGTGTCGCGCCCGCAAAAAAAGCCTGCTATAATATCAGACATTTTCTTAGCACTTGACTGAATCTACCTTTCTTGAAGTACCCATTGTTTTAGTCATATGGTACTATATAGAATCAAGAACTTTGCATCTCTCTCAAAAAAAAAAAAAAAGAGAAAATGCAGTTTATAAGTTAGGTGAAGATTAATTTTCTAGTAAAATGAATAGCAGACATTGATTTTAACATTTCATACAAATTACAAGGAAAAAATTAAACGCTGACGTACAGATCACACTCCCAAGCGGCGCACTGTAGCAGTGCGCCACCGGGCCGGCCCTGAATCTACCTTTCTTGAAGTACTCATTGTTTTAGTCATATGGTACTATATAGAATCAAGAACTTCGCATCTCTCAAAAAAAAAAAAAGAGAAAATGCAGTTTATAAGTTAGGTGAAGATTAATTTTCTAGTAAAATGAATAGCAGACATTGATTTTAACATTTCATACAAATTACAAGGAAAAAATTAAATGCTGACTTACATGTTAGCTAGGGAAAAGAGAAATCTGTGCATACATTTGAGCATATCTGACCATGCACATAATCACAACTAGTTGAAAATATCTTTAGACTCAAGGAGAATTTGACTCTACAGTCCTTGTACACTGAACTTTTGATTCTTTCTGGCAATGCTGTACAGAAATCTCAAAAATAACAAATTATTCTCAAACCTCAATTTAGCTAAAAATTTTAACTTCACCAATATACCTACACTGGCGATATTAATCCATGACATAAATTGGCTGCCAAGTAAATATGCCAAACAGCCTATACTGACCCGGGTAGTTCAGGAACCAAAGCACCTAAAAGTTGATTCTGTTACAGACACACAATGTGTGCCAAGTTTGATTATTAGTAGTAGAAATATTTAGAATAAACATTGATTAGCCCACATACACACACAAAGAATATGCCTAAAATGGACTGAACAGAGGTTAGTATAAAGGCAGTGTCTACTACCAAGGTCACAAACCAAAGGAAGATTTTTTTTTTTTCATAGATAATGCAATAATATCAATAGTGCACAATGTACTTTTAAAAAATTTAATTTACTCTGTGCCCCGAAGTAAAAAGGCATTCTCATCTGTCTTTGGATTATACGTCTTTCTTCCTTCCCTCAAGCACATTCATAATAACAAATTGAACTTTAACAGCTCTGGAGAAAATGAATTAACCACTCACTTCAAGGGTTCAGGAGACAGTTTTGTGCCTGAAAGGTTGATCTGCATCAAAGCCAGAGAACTACTAAAAAACTGCTTGAAAGACGGGGGTACTTCTTTCCCTTTCCTGAAAAAACAAAAGTCATAAAAGTGGTTACACTTCCATCAAACTTATTTGTTGGGTATTCAAACACTGTGAAATAAAACATGAATCAGTCGTAGTTTCAGTAAAAATTTAAAGGCAAAAAGAAACAAATAAATGTCTGAAACCTCAATGAATAAATCCAGTACAATTAAAGGAATGACATAAAAGCAGTTAAGACATATCATTAAGTCCATAAAACACCTTACTCCTTTTCTTTGCAGCCAATGAACTCATTGTGTTTCACTTCTCAATCTTCAGAAAACTGTATATTTGGAGTTTTCAAAAACAGGAGTTCAGAAAAGATATGTATCTCTCACTAACATAAAGAGCTTTCCCACTGGGGGACATCAAATGTTAATAATCACTGCCTGCATTTGGCAATATTTTTAGATGTGGCAGGTATTGGGTACAAGAAGATTGTGACCTGATGTTGAACTGAGGCACAGCACAGAAAGTCTGAATGGCATGAAGCCTGCGTGATAAATAGCCTATTCAGCTTATTGACATCATATCACAAATCTAATCATTTCAGGCCAGATATTAGAATAGTTAAAGATAAAAGTACAAAATGAAATGGCTATAACCTCCTAATACATTCCCTTGCTATTACAGTGGGAAGTAAGTAGATCAAGTCATACAACTCCAAAATAAGGCAGAGTCAACGCCACACAATCAGAGCTTAAGAAAACCAGGATTCAAGAGTCCAGATAGTAGTTCGAACACTTTTCTTGTTCTGTTCTATGGCAAAATTGATGGAAAGACTGAACAAGCTGGTATGTGTAAACCACTTAGCCTGATGCATAGTAAGCACTCATTTAATGACAGCTATTCATACTGCCGTACAGCAGGAAAAAAGCCTGCTATAATATCAGACATTTTCTTAGCACTTGACTGAATCTACCTTTCTTTTTTTTGTCTTTTTTCGTGTCCAGCAACGGATCGCAACCCTCAGTGTCGCGCCCGTACCGGACCGGGACCGGCAACGGGATCGCAACCCTCGGTGTTGCTCCATCCACAGCATTGTAAATTCAAAAGAGCTGATTATACAAAAACCTTTGTAGTCTATGCTATCATCTCCCCAGTCAATTACAGCTCCACCAAAGCATGGCTTCATAAGCTGCCTTCAAATACATGAGTTGACTAGGTGGTCTCAATACCTTCAAATGCCCCCCAAAACAAAGTATTTTGGAAAACTCAACTTTTCCCTCCATTATATTTCTTAGACTTCACACTCCCTTACCTTACTCTATTGAGGTGTTTGTGATTTTTTTTTTTTTTTGCTATTGTAAAGATTTACATCATGTTCCAAGTAACAGAGCAATAGTACTTCAAAATATAAAGTAATTCATTTATGAAGCATAACTGTGGAATACAGCATGCCACAAAACTGAACTTTCCAAATAAGTCAGGGTTATCTCTTTGAATATATAAAGCTTTTATAAAGTTAACTAGGGCTGGCCTATTAGCTCATTTGGTTAGAGTACAGCCTTGTAACACCAAGGTTAACAGTTCGGATCCCTGTACCAGCCAGCCACCAAAAAACAAAAACAAACAAACAAAAAAGTTAACTAGTAAAAATGGAGGTATTTCTAATTTTCAGCCATAGTCCATGTCATTAAAGAATATATAATGACTAAAATACTGCTTATGACTTGTTGTCATAATTACAAATGCTACGTGTTGGACTGTATTCAAATGAGCCCAGAATTCCATACTTACATAACCCATGTACTTTGCATAATTCTTCTGTACTCTCTTTCCATTCTAAATTGCTGCTGTTTGTGAATCCTTGCTTCTTTCTCCTAATCTACTTCCTTACTTTGCAAACAATTAGAAGTCAGGAGGGTAGAAGAAAGGTACTTAGTTAGGCTGGCCCTCAATTTCTTCTATAAATTAAAATGCATGATCTTTGGGCTGACTATTCTTTTTGCTCTCCCGGACAGGGTTTATACTTACTTCCAAGTTCATCACTGAGAAATACCTATAGAAGTTTCTAAAAGGGGGCCGGCCCGTGGCTCACTCGGGAGAGTGCGGTGCTGATGACACCAAGGCCCCGGGTTCGGATCCCATATAGGGATGGCCGGTTCGCTCGCTGGCTGGGCGTGGTGCTGACAACACCATGACTATTCTTTTTGCTTTCCCGGACATGGTTTATACTTACTTCCAAGTTCATCACTGAGAAATACCTATAGAAGTTTCTAAAAGGATTTTTACTATATTAAGAGAAAATACCTGTCCACATATGAAAATTAGTGCATTATCATATAGTTCACATAGGCAGGCTGGAGTTGTTAAGAACATTAATCTGTGGTTTTCTAAAAGGATTTTTACTATATCAAGAGAAAATACCTGTCCACATATGAAAAATAGTGCATTATCATATAGTTCACATAGGCAGGCTGGAGTTGTTAAGAACATTAATCTGTGGTTAAGAAAGATATATCAAAAACTTGAGCTTTCAAGGCTTAATATTCATAGATAATGGTTTAAGGCCATCTTTTTTCATTTACAACATTCACCCTTTATCACTCTGTTTTCATCATCACTACAACTTTCTCTCAGAGAAAGATACTTCTAGATGACTTCTGCTATCTAAATGATAGCAGGAATAAACTCATACCGGTGAGAGAAGACAGTTCTGGAGAGATTGAGCACAGCTAAATATTGAAGGCATCCACGGAGAAGAGCTCCACAAACCTGAGAAAGAAATAAGGCACTCTCACTTTCAAATATTTCTAGGTCCGAGAGAATATTTCATTAGAGAGAAAGCCCCGATATCCCATCTAAATGGCTGTTCTGAGATCCCAGAGCAATACATAAAAAGAATTACCATGTCCAGGGAACATTCTGTATTGGATAAATCCAGATGAGCAATGGCATTTGGCTGGGCCAAAAAATTGTACATGTGCTTAAAATAAAAAACAAAAAAATAAATGTTAGGATCTAGAAACGCACACAAAATGCAAATTAATATTTTAAAAAGAAATTGCCCGAATTCCCCAGACCATTCTCTGCTCTTCCTAACAGAATTAGAATTTTCTGTCATTCTATTCTCTGAGAGGAAAAATCCAAAGAATATTTAAAATAAAATTATGTTTGAGTAGAAAAAGGCCAGATGGAATCTTGACTACCAAACCCCCTTTTTATGACACATGACTTAGTTTTCCTGATAAGCTCAATTTTTATTATATAATTTTGGAACAGTGCTAATTAATTTTAACTCCTGAGATTGAAATAACACCTGAATTGCAATCACTCTAACAAAATGCCACTCACTTTTAAAGCATTCAAGGAACCACTAATTTTAATTTGAACCATAGGATGGTCTCAGGCTATACTCTCTTCTGTCCAACATAATACTTTCCCTATCCTTATCTGCTTTCAAAATCTAACAAGAATGGTCTGACAGCACTATTAATATATATTTTTTAATCTCACACATAGCTAAGACACTTCGGGTTTTACCAGGTCACAATGCCTAACCTTCCCTCCTCCCCCCATGCAAAGCCATCAAAACAATGAAATCGTTCACTTTCTGTTTATTTCTAATTACCCTGCCCACCAATAACAAACTGAGTCCAAGCTCCTTGCCACCAGGCAAACAGCTAAAATTCTCCTCTGCTTCCCTGGATGCCACCAGATACTTGCAAAAACAGACAAGCTTATACTGAGAGTGTCTCAGTCCTTGGCAAACACTTAAGTGTATGTAGAGTTTGGTTATGCGGTACACTTCAGAAAAATCCTCTCTATCAAGGAATGCAGAAGAGCAATTCAGAGTTAGCCCATGAACACTTTAGACTAACGAGGCACACAGAACAAGTTGTTCTGTGTGAATGAGAAGTTGTGATTCAGAAAAACCACTTTGTTCTCACTTACATGAAGATCTTCTCTTTCACTGTTTGCCTGGCACTAGTAGCCTCAAGAGACATTAAGACTGGTGTGGTTTTACTCCCAGTTACCAGCTGGGGGAGCTCTTATCACCCTGAAGTGGTGACAAGACCCTACTTGGCCAACACTTCTCCAAAGAGGCAAGCCCTGCTAGACTGCTTTCCCAGAAGGCACAGGGCCAGGGAAGCTCCTACAGCTGCTGCAAGGCTCCCAGAACCCCCTCAGCCTGTACCAGGCTGCAAGCCCACTCTCACTCAGGCCTCATCATTCTGCTCCCTTCTCCCCAGAGGCAAGCTGGGACAAGATCCGCCCCTGGCCAAGGAAATAACTCTCAGGCTATTTTGTCATTTTAGGTGATGATTAATGCTCCTGTTTTAGCTGAATCTTAATATTTCACCTTCAGTCTCTTCTTTTATCCTTCCTTCTATTGCTTTACATTGCTGCTGTAATGTTTGAGTGGTTTCACATCAGGCTCCTTGTTTCATCTTGGGAGGGAACAATCTCAATTGGAAAATGCATTGGAAAAGTCATGGCATACCAGAAAATAAGTGTTATTTAAATGATTTCAAGTGTGATGGTGGGGAGGGGAAGGCAGAGGGATGGAAACTACAGAAAGGCCTTAATTTGTATTCCCTGCCTTACAGGTAAAGTAAAACAAGAGAAATAAGAATAAATTTCACAGTGTTTTTCATGCGTATAAAGCAGTGGAATGCAAATTAAGGCCCTGCAAAGATGTCCACTAGCTAGAGGTCCTCTTGTTCGAGGAACATTTCTTCTAAATTCTATCACAGTAACCAGAGACCATTTACCACATATAGCAAGGAGAGCATACCTGATTCAGTATACAAATAAAATCTGTCAAACATTCATATTACTGATTCAGCTGCATGAAAAAATCTTATTATAATTGAGGGACACCTTTTTGCCTTCACACACAAACTCTAAAGAGTAGCCCCTGGTTACTTCTAGCCCACCCCTACCCCTGTTTTATTCATGAAATAGACCAGTATCCCAACATCCCAATATTCCCTACTAATTGCAAACTATAAAAAAGCCACCAGTCTTCCCCAAAATATTATTTAATGCTGAAATAGTTCAGTTTATGTTACCAATCATCCTTATCAGCAAATTGTAATTGGTGAACAAATGTTTTAAAATGAAAAAAAAAAAAAATTCATTCAGAAAAAGTACTTTCGAAAAGAATTTGAACGTCAGCATTATTAAATGAGAAAAAAACCAACTACGGTGATAGACTACATTTAATTAGGGCAGGCTCTAGGAATTTTCACTAAATATGATTTTCACTTCATAAGCTTGCATTTAAGTGATTTCAAGGTGTCATGATAAAGAGAGATGCAGGGAAATACGTTAGAAGGTCATGTTTAGGATTATTAAAGACTATTAAGTACAGCTTCTTTGAAGATGGAAGGAAAGGAAAACTCACCGAGAGGTCATCTCCTCGGAGGATGTTCCCTGAGAGATCTAGATGGATAAGGGTGGAGGCGGTCAATGGGTTGGCACTGAGTGACTGAGAAAGGCTATTCACCCCTGCAACATCAAGAAAATCCAGGCTCAATTTCCACTCCAGGAAACAAAATAAGGTTTCTGAGTTTCTATAAACGGCTCAGCAGTCCCCTCAAATTGCAGGACGGAGGTTAACCACAAGCACCATCCCCAAGAGGTAGCACTATGATTGTGTCTTCTTTTGACACACCCTCAGGAAGAACAGGTTAGTTGCAGACACAACCATCTCACTGAATCAAAAAGAGCAATGGAATCGGCTTCACTTTGCTCCACGTCTTCTGATGTGTCCAAGGACGAAAAAGATTTTACTTTAAAGTCTTAGAATGAGGCAAGCAATTTAATCAGCAGTTTTTATCCTTCTCTTAATCCTGCCAGGTGATTCTGACTTAGCATGGTATGTAAGTGATACATGTGCAAATTCAGATAATTTAGGCTACTTAAGTATTGGGGAGTTAATAGAGGAATACGCTGCTCTACTTCAATGTATTACACTCAAGGCAAAATTTGGATTAAAATGGATTTTACAAAGAGTGAGATGATCTGCACACAATATAAGCAATCATATGAAAAAACTTAACATTCTGTGCACTCATTACATACATAACATAAATGGCTCAAATTAAAGTCAACTGAACTAACCTAACAAATGCACCTCAGCAAATAAAGAATGAATACCTGAGGACAGAAACACTGTTCTGTGTGGAGACAGCCAGGTTCAGTTATACGTGGGTAACGGTTATTGACACAGGCCTGCTACTCACAGCCTAATGGTTGGATTTTTATCAGGCCCCTTCTTTTCATGGGGAAAAAGAGCTCTTAGAAGTGTGTCATTATAAAATGGGAGCCCAGAAGAGCCTGGTCACTCACAGGGACTGGATACACTCACAGTATGAGTATCACTGATGATTATTCTTAGGATAACGGGGACAAGAGATATAGCAAAGTTCTTCAAGTTTCTACTAAAACCCCATGGTTCCAAAGTATATATTTTTTAGTATGGCTATTTCTAAATTGGTATACTTTTATAATGTTTTTTCCTGTTTTTCAGTAAAATTATTTTTGAAAATCCTAGCCTATCTCAACCACCCTAAGGAGAACCAGAAAAGGGGGCATTTGGGCAGAGCCTTCATGGGGATGAGGGGCCAGGGGTCATGTCAGTCAGTAAGAACAGATCTGGTCATGGCTGCTGGTTCTGACGAGGGTACTCCAGGGAGGTCCAGCTTCCCGTGCAGCACGTCCCTGAGCAACTCCAGAATGTTCAGTGCATGGTGCTGACAAAGGGCCATTGTCTGATCCTTCGGCTTCAGACAATTACAAAGAACTGATTCCAGTGTGTACCTCATAAAGGCTACTCAGCCATTTGTCAAGGGTGAGGGTACATATAGGTATGTAGAAGGAGGAGACAGAGGCTTTGAATTAAAATATATTTTCCAGTGTGTACCTCATAAAGGCTACTCAGCCATTTGTCAAAGGTGAGGGTACATATAGGTATGTAGAAGGAGGAGACAGAGGCTTTGAATTAAAATATATTTTAGTTAAGTACAAAGAAGTTCTTGGCCGTCAACTCAACACTTATTAAGCGCTTATAAAATGCTGGGGACTGGGAGATATGTATCAATACATAAGACTCATTCTCTACCCTCAAAAAGTGCAAAGATCACGAGGAAGAAAATTAATCAGACCCCAGGATGAAAAGTCAGTGCTACATAAGGAATATTTATTCATTCATTTCAACAAACCTTTACTAAAAGCCTGTGTACCAGGGAGAGGCTTCTGAGACCCAGGGACCACCATCTCACCCGCTCAAGGCCAGTTCCGTGGGAGACACAGACACTGAATAATCGTTGTCCAGGGAACTACTATCAAAGAGGCAAGAAACAAGAGCATGGCAGTAAAGGAAGTGGAAATGTGACTATTTGTGTTAGCTAAGAAGAATCTACAGTAGCCTATAGAAAAGCTTAATTTCTGGGGGTTATCTCCTATGATCGTTTAAATGACCAACTTCCTTTAATTTTTCCTGTTATCAGTATTAATGCTTTTTTTTTTTTAAATGGAATAATTGAGTCCAAAACATATGGAGAGTACCAGACTGTCATCAAGATAATCATTTGTAAAATCATTTCCTCAGTGAGGTATAGCAAAACTCAATAAATAAATTCCAAAATTAGAAGGCCAAATTAGTCCTGACAGCAAAATGCTCCTTGACAAGTGCAGGCACTTGGCAGTTGGCCAACATCTGAATAGACTTGGAGAGAATCATGTTATCAGCTCAGCTTCATGCTACTGAAACAGAATGAAGGATTTCCTCCCCTGCCTCCTGAGCCCACATTCACATGAGGCCTGTGTTAATAAACCCACTAATAGCAGGAAATTATAAAAATATAGGACTAGAAAACAATCAGGGCTCTCATAACCCAAACTGAACACAAATTTACATGCCATTCTCAATTCTGGCTGTCTAATGATTCTCACCATTCTTCATATTTATTATTTTAGTATTTACAGCTGGAAAAAGGTGGTACCAGATGGTCCTGCCTTGACATGATCTGGCAACCAGCAGGACATTTGCTAGAAATCCAGAAAACTATCAGTTAACTAACACCTGAGGTAGAGAAAGGGTATTTGGAGGCAGTGGGAATGTCATGCGGAGATTTTTTTCTAAATCTGTCTTAAATTACTGAGTCATGAATATAAATGTTTTCAGAGAAGTAAAACATAAATGTTAATCAAATTCAGCAGAAGCTTAAAACTGCAATTCAATCCGAGTGATTTTAAATCTGCAAACCTTTTAGATCCCATGTAGATGCCTTTAAGAAATCAATTTTTAAAAAAACATTTCAAGATATTTGTCTTATAAAAGGCAACTTAAAATTCTTCAGGTCATATGTTGTAAATCGATGCTAATTCTCAAAGCACATATTATAATGTACACATATTTTATTGCAGGGAAAAGATAAAGGGAAGGACTCATTATGTAAAGGGTATAGTCAACATAGGGCTGTCCTCATCATAAGGACACTAAGGAGTCCCACTGTGCCCCTGGAGGGTTCCTGCTCTTCCCACGCTAGGGAGACAGAGACATGAGTAAGAAGTGACAGTGAGGTACTTCAGAACCAAAGCTTGCTCTAGGGAAGATAAATGATCACCACATCCCTCTATGTGTCTTACAGTAATCAACAAATAAATTAAAATAAAAAATATAATCAAGTTTTTTAAAAACACCTCTATCTCATAAGAGAATTAAACTAGACCTCTAGAGCACACAAGACATAACAAATACTTTTTAACAGAGAAGTCATATAAGTTAAGAAACAAGATTAACACCGTAAATAATGAACAAAAGATGTGACTTTAGCAATTTCCCCAAAAGAAATACAAATGACTAAGGAACAAGGCATGACCTAAGCAATAACTGAAGAAAGTAAAATTAAAACATTGTAACTAAAATGAAGACACTTTTGTTTATATGCTCGACAATGAAAAGAGAGAATAATATGCAAGGATGGTGAGAATGTGAAGAAAATTGTACAAAATACTTTAAAAATATCACAAAAAAAAAAAAAAAGCTTTTAAAAAATGCATATACTCTGATCTAGCAATTCTACTTACAGAAATTTACCTAAAGAAGAAATTAAGGAAATGACCAATAATTAGAGACCAAATTCATGTTAGTATTGTTTGCATTATTGAAGAATTAAAAACTATTTAAATGTACAATAACATATTATTTAAATAAATTAAGAAACATAATTCCATACCCTGGAATATCAGGTCGCCACTGAAAGTAATCATGTTCTTACTGGCATAAACAGTCACAATACACTATGTGGGAAAAAAGCTTATGAAATAGTAAGCATAGGATAATCTCATATTTGAGTGTGTGTTTGTATACATGTATGCATATAAACAAACTATAGACAAAAAACAGTATGGAAGGATGGGCACCAAATTGTCAACAGTGACAGTCTTACAATGGTTTGGTGCTGGCATTAAAAGTAATTTTTGTTTTCTAAGTTGCACTTTTCAGTACCTTCGAAATCTTTACCGTAAATATGGAATGCACTGATAATCATCAGAGGAAACTGATTTGCTGAAGTAGAACAGTAATGACATAAAGGGGCTAAACTTAGCTTTAAGATCTATAGACAGCTCCAAGCACTAGGTCAGAAAACACTGACTCCTGAGAAAATCTTTCTCTTTGGTAATTTACTTTTACGCCTTTAATCTTAAACATGTATGTACAAATACGTGCACATACAATCAAGGGACTTACGGAATTATTCTCAATTTCAAATCATTCTTAGTGTTAATTCTTAGTCTTAAGACATCTCAGAATAATGTCTGATGGGATGGATATAAAATCATCAAGGCATGACTCTGCTTCATTCATTCACCCAAGGCACATTCTGTGAGAGACTGTGAAGTGTTGGGCACCAGGACACAGCAATGAATAAGGCAAGGCCCTGACCAGACAAAAACTTCCAGGCTAGGACAAAATCACAATGCAATGGGAAACACGCTAAAATAGGGGAGTTTACAAAGAACCATGGAATGCCGAGAAAGGAGCATCTAGTTGTGCAGGGTGTGGTGAGAGGAGGCTGTCTGAGAAGGCTTCAAAGAGCAAGTGAGACAGAAGCTGAATCTTACTGGATGAGCTGTGGCTCACGCAGCTTTTCGAGGGGGACACTGAGGTTGTCCCAGGCCAAAATAAAAGCATATAAAAACATATGACGGCACAATATGATGATGATGACAATGATGATAATGGTGGTGGCAGTAGCTACTAGTATTAAGCCCTTTGTGCCAGAAACTGCACTGTATATATGTTAGTTCATTTAACCCTAACTACCTGTGATGAAGTAGAATCTCTTATTTCTATCTTACAAATGAGGCAACTGGGGATAAAAAATTATAAAAGCACGTTCGAAGTGGAGAAGTCAGCATTCAACCACAGGCAATCTCACTAGAGAACTGACACTCTTAACCACTATACATAATACCTCCAAAAGATAATGATCTGCTTAAGAAATGGCAAATTGTTCACTTCAAAACACTTTCATTGAATGATGGTCCAGGCACTGTGCCAGGTGCTGCAAATATAGAGACATGAGAAACACAGGCCACAAGGAGAGCCTGAGTCTAGTAGGAAAGACACAGTATTTACACTATAATGTTATGCATGTGATATAGAAGTAATACAAAGGAAGGAATGATTCTGTTGCAACCTCAGGAACAGGGAACACATCTCTCGATGTGAATAGTAGAGATTATCACAGAGAAGAGTAGAGATCTAGCAGAGATTATCACAGAGAAGAGTAGAGATCTAGTAGAGATTATCACAGAGAAGGTTTTATAAAATAAACTGAAGCTCTCCCAAAGTAGTTGTGGATGAACTTTTCAAGCATTCAGAGCAGAACATGAAAATATACAAAGTCACAATGAATACAGGGTAATTTCTAATATTATTATGGAGGTGCTGGTGTGACAAAATAATAATAGAATTAACAGGATTTGATGAGTAACTGTATAAATGAGAGGAGGGAGGGAGTGAAGTCAGGAATGGACCTGGGGAGAAGATAAGGCAATCTCTAGAGACAAAATTAGACACAGGGCAGCAGCCCCTGGGGGTGGGGGGGAGAAGAGTCTCTCAGCCACACCCCCAACTGCCTACATCCAGGACACCAATGGAGCCAGCCACCAGCCCCCAGCGTCCTGAGATGGGGGCTGTGGGCCTCAGCACTGCCCCCAACCGACCACAACCAGGCCAGACTACCATGCACCCCCACCCCAACCCCCTGCTCCCAGCTCCTGTGACAACATCTTCAAATGTCTTTACTAGCCAAGTGTGTTTCTTTGGGGTGTGTGACTTACTGCTCATGTCCTTCAACAAATTTCTGTTTAGATTTTTCTAATTCATTTTTAAGAGTTACTTTTGCATTAAGGATGCTAATCTTTGTGTGTTAAATTTGCTCCTTACCAACTGACTTTAAAATTAATTTGGGATGTTTTCCTTTGTTTCTGTGTTGAGAAAATAACTATCTAAACATTAAATAAAATACATAAATAAAACAAAATTAGAAAGGGTGAAGCTCCAGGGGCGACCCAGCAGTTTTCTGTACAGCAGACAGTCCATCTGGCAGATGGGGAGGTCAACTTGTTTTTTCCAACAATGTAGCAAGAGAACAATGAAGCAGGTGCCTCTTGGAATGTGAGGCATGACACTAGGGGCAGCCAGGTGGGCGTTCCCTGACTCAAAGTTTAAAAAGTTAAAGACTGCATGTGTATTTCAAAATTACAAGCAAGAGAACAACGAAGCAGGTGCCTCTTGGAATGTGAGGCATGACACTAGGGGCAGCCAGGTGGGCATTCCCTGACTCAAAGTTTAAAAAGTTAAAGACTGCATGTGTATTTCAAAATTACTCTCTACTTAGCAAGAGAACAATGAAGCAGGTGCCTCTTGGAATGTGAGGCATGACACTAGGGGCAGCCAGGTGGGCGTTCCCTGACTCAAAGTTTAAAAAGTTAAAGACTGCATGTGTATTTCAAAATTACTCTCTACTCTGCAAGTTCTTAACTTTAGAGCATCAGAATTTAAGTTACATTATGTCTTTATGTTAAAACTGCCAGAGTAATGTAATACATCTATATATTTTTAAAAGCAGGTACATAACTGAATAATAATTCTAACTATTTATGGTAGCAAGTGCAGCAAAAATATTACAGACACACGTTAAGTAAAAAAGATTATACTGTACCTTTAGGCGATAATGAGGTTTTAGATAAATTTAAATTCTTTAATCCCTTTGGGAGTTTGGCAAATTGAATACTTAAAGAGGCAACACCTGAGAAAAGAAAAAGCAATTATCAGAATTTTCAAGTTCACAGAATTGTACTCGTTTTACAATGCATGAGAATTAAATTTGATTCCAGTTAAAGTGACCATATTTTTCTTTCTAATGTCAGATGCTGTTTTCTAATCACCTGCCATCATGACTCCTCTTCTTTCTCACCTACCAATAGGGTATGAGAAGGGAAAATTGTTTAATTAAGCATAACAGTATCTAAAACTTTTCCATTATAGATATTTTTCTTTGGTCCCAGTGTTACCTTCTCTCACAGTCCTATTTAAATTGCCAATCCTCTTGGGAAGGGTAATATAATGTTCTCACCCCCCTTTTCTTTTTAACCTCTGTCTTAATGAGTTGATCTCTATTCCAAATGAGCAGATGCATGCTATTTAATTATTGTCAAGAAGAATGGAGTAATATTAACTATTCAGATAACAGCTTCACTTTTAGCAGATGGATTCCAATACTTAATTGCCTTATGGCTAACAGCCTCAGAGCATCGGAGTTTGTTTTAACTTCTTAAAGGTAGGCGTTGTAACTTGGAATAACTCACCAGGAATTGACAGTATTTAAAATAAGGTACCCTCTGAATTTAATAGCCAGAGTGGGAGATTGGGAATACCAGGTCACTCATCCAAAGATTGCAATGAGCATAAACAGTTTTCTGAGAGACAGTAAGGAAAACATAAATGTGTGCCTTCCTACAGGTCCTTCAACAACCAACCTCCTGCTGCAGGTGAGCTATCACTTCCCCACAGCATGTTATCAGCAAGGCTCCTGAAACTATATTCACCATATATACATACACAGTCGCCTTATCCAAAAAATGAAGTAATAACACTTGTGCTATTTAACTTCACAAGCTATTTTATTAATCACACGAGGTAGTAAATGCTAACACTGAGTGCACAGTATGCAACAGGGCAGTCTTAACTGACACTCTTAACCACTATACATAATACCTCCAAAAGATAATGATCTGCTTAAGAAATGGCAAATTGTTCACTTCAAAACACTTTCATTGAATGATGGTCCAGGCACTGTGCCAGGTGCTGCAAATATAGAGACATGAGAAACACAGGCCACAAGGAGAGCCTGAGTCTAGTAGGAAAGACACAGTATTTACACTATAATGTTATGCATGTGATATAGAAGTAATACAAAGGAAGGAATGATTCTGTTGCAACCTCAGGAACAGGGAACACATCTCTCGATGTGAATAGTAGAGATTATCACAGAGAAGAGTAGAGATCTAGCAAAAAAATGTAAGCAGCAACTCTTGAATCTATTTCTCTTGTCTTTTTTAACAGATCAAATCAGAGCCACCACCTGATTAGTTGGGGAAACAAAAATTGGGATATCTCAGGTCAATGTTTGTGGAAAACAAACAAAAAGCTATGAGATAGGATTCTAAATGGTCATGAAACGAAATAATCAAATTTGGGATTATGTAAGGACAAACATTCCTGACAAGGCTGAGATCATAAAAATTAGGATAATTGCGAAGGATAACCACGAAGAATAAAACATGCAGTTTGTAATGTTCACGGAAGTAAAGCATGTGAAATGAGCAGAGAGAGAAGAACNAGAAACAGATTTTATATAATGATATGGGAACCTCATACTAAAAAATATATATATATATATATACACATATATATTAGGAACTAATACCAAAGTTTCCCCTAAATAATGGACTCTGACATTTTCTATTCCATTTCTTTTTTTCCTTTTTGTCTTTCTTCGTGACCGGCAACAGATCGCAACCCTCAGTGTCACGCCCGTACCGGACCGGGACCGGCAACGGGATCGCAACCCTCGGTGTTGCGCCTGCACCTCGCTCAGCCAGTGAGCGGGAACCGGTCTGTATGTGGGATCCGAACCCTCGGCAGCAGCACCGCCGCGCTCCCAAGCGGCGCACTGTAGCAGTGCGCCACCAGGCCAGCCCCTCCATTTCCTTTTTTAAAAATGCTTGTGATGAACTATCAAGTTGATTTCATGGCCTGCTAATGGGTCTTGAGCCACAGTCTGAGAAAACACTGGATTAAAGGAAAGCCCAGAACAAGCTTGTGAACAGGCCTGGCCTTGCAACCAGGATAAGAACAGCTTGTGTGATGTGCATAGTCTGTTCACAGCCTTGTGGGGCTCCTGCAGAGAGAGAGCAAGGCCTTATGCATACACACTGTGCCTCTGCTTACTAAATCCTACCTTATCCTCCTTCACCACAAGCCCCTGAACAATCAGAAGGCTGCAGGTCTGTCCTTTATATATATGTATGACAAGGAGACTGAGCTGTAAATAACAGGGATTTACTGCATCAACATTCATATCACAAAACAAGGAGCTAAACTTTCTCTCTGAGAGTTTCCAAATAAGTCCCTGAGTGTATAGTTCAGGTGCAAAATCACATCCCATTTGGTGTTTAAATTCCTCAGAATTCAAAGCTGATTAACTACTAAGATCCTATCTGCCTTGTGTTTCTTGTAAACAATATTACCTGGCTTGGTTTCTCTTATATACTACACAATTTAATTACAGACTCCTCTCCCATCCTTTCTATTGTTTTCAAACATAAAATACTGTCATTGAAAAGCTCAGAAACAAAAGTTGTTCAAATTTTTCTCTAGATTGAAATTTCAATACGTACTTTACAATCAACTGAATTTCTTGTGGAATTTCCTTCCACCCATGTGCAGAAAATATCATTTCAGATATTTAAATATCATAAATATCATTTTCAGATATGTAGCTTGAATAAAAGAACCAATGAAGAATTGCTGTTTAGGAGGCTCGGCCCCAAGAGTGAAGAAAGGTGGGGAATATGGGTGTCGGCAGTTACCCGTGAGCATTGGCA